ACTCCTTTATCTTTAACTAACTTAATTAAACAATGCATCATTAAAGAACAAGATGGAAGACCATCTTCTAGTGACATATTAATGGATATTAATAAAATGAAAAAAGAATATGAGAGTAATCCATCTGCTTGGGATACTTGTATCATTTCTAATTGACTTAAATTTTGCATTCTCATTCTTTCTTTTATTATATTGATTATTAATTATTGATCTTTTCTTTTTCTTTATTGTAATAGATTACATAGTATATTTATTCTGTTTATTCAAAACCATAAATTCCTTTAATTCATATCGTATTTTGAAAATCAGATAAAAAAATTTGTCATTAAAAACAATCAACAAATACAATTGAAATTGATATTCTTATCAGAATATTTGATTTTATTTGATTTGAATAAATTAATTCAAATGAATTAAAAGTAAAAAGTAGTTTAATTGGTTAGAGTAATTAAAACAAGAAAACCATTTAATTTAAATTTGAATTAAAACTCTTTTACCCATCCAACAAAATATGCTTCAGTACTTAAATATCCTAAATTAGGATCAAAGATGTATTTGATGTATGTTTGGAATCCTAAAATGTTATACCCAAAAGTAAATACACCAACATCTTCTTTATATTTTTCATCTTCCATTTGATCTTCTGCTTTTTCTCCCATTTCAACTTGCTCACGTTTTCTTGCAACAAAAGTAAATGGTTTTTGTAATTCACTACATGACAATTGAAGATAAATTACATCTACAAATACCATAACCCACAATCCATGGATTTTATGTCCTAACTCATTTGTTGGATTAAATGTCATTGAAAGAACAATAGAAATAACAACATTACACATTAAAATAATTAAATAAATTGTATGGATTGAATTGGCTAATTTAGTAAATAACAATGGTCGTTTATGTTCCGTAATTAATGTAAATATTGGATGTGTTCTAAATGCTAGAATTCCAACAACCATATAAACAAAATAAAGTGCAATTGCAATTGATGCAAATATAAGTTCTGTTTTTACCATTTTTTTACCATTTTCATGTTCAGTAACACTTAATGCAATACATGCTATAACAAGTCCTGATATTAAACTTATAGTTTGAATAATATGATGTACAATGAAATGTACCATTATTTTTTTATTTCTTTTAATTAGTTGAAATGCTCGATTAGGTGATGCTGCAATAGTTTCATATGTTTCATCTGAAAGCAGACGATTTGTGTCTTTGAACATGGTTTAATCTGACTTTTCTATTTAATCTGCTTTTTCTTTTTGTTTTCTTTTTTTCAAAAATGTTGTGAAGATTCAACTATCAAATCGTTTAACCAAGTATTTAATTCATCTTAAAATAAACCCATTCCCATTCAACTAACAATACCTATCATCTACTCATTTAAAATAACATAAAATAAACTCCAATATGATATTATCAATATCTCATTATACATTCTTCTGTTAGAGCAAGAAGATTCCAAATAAATAAGAATGTCAACATTTCAAATGGTGTTGAAATTAATACTTATTAACACACAAAATGTCTTAATATATGAATTTCATAAAGAACAATGTACATGAAATAATGTGTTTTATGTATTGGAACCAAATGGTTGTTAGAATTGGAAATTACAAAACAAACATAACCAAATACAAAACAGAAAGTGTAACAAAAGAGAGAACAATAATCCAAACAATAAATATGCTGTAAATATTAGATTTCCAATACAAAAAGAAAATAAAAATGAACCAAACTATATAAATGATATTGATAATTATAGCAATGAATTTACATGAAATGGTAATGAATCTAATCATCATTTCAATTAAATAGTACTGAAATTATGTATTGTTTGAATTATTCTTGGAGTATTCAAAACTAATGTAATTTTACAATTGTTGTATTAACTCTTCAAATAAACAATGAGTATAGCAATAAATAATTTAATTGTGATAACGATAACAAATTGATATGAATTTGACATAATTTTTATGAATGACATATAAAAATAGATAACAAATAATATTTAAAAGAACTAAAATTTAGAAATACACAACAAAAGAAGAATGAGCATTACTCCAGAAGAAACAACAAAAAGAACCCAAAAATTAGAGACTATAAGAAATTCCATAATAATGAAGATAGAAGAAATAATGAAAAGTGCCAAGGAATACAATGAAAATTATGAGAAAATGTTACAAGAAGAGATAGTTGATGTATCTAATGAAAATACTATAGCTAGAAGTAAAAGAATTGAAGATGTTCATTCAAGAAAGGATGAATTGACTAGAAAAAATGAAGTAGTAATAAAGCAAATAGAAGAAGGGATTGAAATATTGAATCAAATGAAAGAGATTTATGAAAAAATGAATTTTAATGGGTATGAAGATAAACAAATACCCAAAGAACAAATAACTGTCTTTAATGAAGTGATAGAACCAGAAGAAAAACGAGTTAATGAAATGACTTGTCTAACTATAAAGGAAGAAGTTCCAAAAGAAACAAATGAAAAAGATTTGCTTTCATCAAGGCAAATTGAACAAATAGAAGAATGGACAAAAAGAAGAGTAGGAAATATACTATTTGACTCAAATACTGATGATTGGAATGTTAATACATCAGTGTTTGGAGAAAAAATAATGAATAAAGAGTATTTAATAATTGTTATTGAAGATACAGAAGGAAATAAATTTGGAGGATATATTAATTCTAAAATTGGTCAAGACTATGATTTTATTACTACCATAAATTCATTTATATTTTCATTAGAGTCAAATGGAAGAATAAAAGGAATGAAGAAATTTGATATTAAATGTGCACAGTATGGGTTTAGATTGTTTGAACAATCATCTGATTGGTTATTTGCATTTGGGTCAGAGTCTGACATTCGAGTTTGGAAATCAAAGAATAAAATATTGTCGTATTGTAAACAAAGTTCATTTGGATATGAAGATATGAGAAATGTACTTTGTGGAAATGAATTTCCAAAGCGATTTACACCACAACGAATCATTGTAATTGAAATGAACTAGCAATACTAATAAAAATGATATTAGCCATTACATTGAATATTAAAATAAAACAATTTCATTTAAAGAATGTTTATTTGGTACTTCTTCATTATTTTCATTATTTTTTTTTTTTTTGAAATTGTCAGTAATTTTAACAATTATAACATCCATTCTTATTCTTTTTTCAATATTTAAATTCAATTTCTTCTTAGGTATTTATTTCTCATAATATTTGTTAAAATAACTTATGTTTTATTCATTTTTGTAGTGTTATTTAATTTACTTTTGTTATTAACTTAATATTCTTTTCGACTCTTAATACTAATTGTATTTGTTTTCAACTTGTTGAATATAACTTAATTTAATTGAACTTTACATTTTATTAATACTAATTCATTTACAACACGTAATAAATAATTTGAATAAACTTAAAGAATCTATTAAAATAATCACACTCATTTGTTTATCTAATAAACAAAATTATATTTACTCAATTGCTTTATAATAAAAAAAAAATAACTTTTATTCCTCTTTAGTTTCTAATCACTTAATTAGTTTAGAATATGTCATTTAAGATGGTCTTAACTTCTTCATATGAAATATCATGATGTGCTCCAATTGTTCTTCCTTTGAATTTACTAGCAATTTCTTCTACATGAGAATGATCAAAGTTATATTTGCTCATTCTTGTAATTCCTCCTACTGATTCAAAGAATTTAATTGTACAGTTAATTCCATCTTCTGCTGTAGCATTTTCAATTCCAAATACTCTTTCTGCAAGTTGTGCAAGTTTCTTTGCATTCTTTTCTTTATTAAATCTCATTACACCTGGACATGTCATAGCAAGTGATGCTCCATGTGCTACTCCATAATATGTAGTAACTTCATGTCCAATCATATGTGCTGCCCAACATTGTTGAATTCCTGTAGCAAGAATTCCATTTAATGCATATGTTGCTGCAAGGCAGAAATCAGCTCTATATTTATAATTAGTTGGCTCTTCAATTGTTTTTGGTCCTGCTGTTGTAATAACCTTTAAGATTCCTTCACAGAATCTATCTACAACTGCTGATGAATCATAATGTCCAATATATTGTTCTATTACATGAACATATGAATCAATAACTCCATTAATTACTTGATTCTTTGGAAGTGTAAATGAATGGCATGGATCAACAATTGCAAAATATGGTTTAACTAAATCATTACATCCAAGTGCTTTATCTTTCTTTCCATAATTCGTAACTACAAATAAATTATTTGTTTCAGTTCCTGTAGCTGGAATTGTTAATACTACTCCAATTTTACTTTTTGGTGCATTTGCTTTTTCCATTTGTGTAAACATATCAAATGGATCTTCAGTTGCTGTCCATTCCATTGCAAGTGCAATATATTTAGTTCCATCAATAACTGATCCTCCTCCAACTGCTAATAAGAAATCAATATTATTCTCTTTAGCAATTTTAACTGCTTTCATACATGTTTCATGTGCTGGATTTGGTTCAATTCCTCCAAATTCTACTATTGGTTTAACATATTTCTTGACTTCTTCATAAACTCCATTCTTCTTAATAGATCCTCCTCCATAGAGCATCATGACTCTTGCTCCTTTTGGAATAAGTTCTTTCTTTTCTATTTCGGAACATGCTCCTTTTCCATAACAAAGGATAGTTGGTGATTGGAATATGAAATTACTGAATGTGTTCATGTATTTTACTTCTTTATTACTAAGTTCTTCTTATCTTCCTTAAATATCTCTATTAACGTGGTTCTTCGTATGTTTTTTATTTTCTTTTTCAACTTCCTTTCAACTTCCTTTCTCTTTTCTTGAGATATTTTTTATTCTTTCTTGATTTTTCTTTGATTTTTTTCTTTTTCTTGATCTTTTAATACGAAATCTCTTTTTTCGGACGAAATCTTTTTTGTTTTTCTTTTTATCTTTCTTTTCTATTTTTGCTTTCAAACTTTAAATTCTTCAAAATTACATTTCTAATTATTTTAATACTTCTCTAATTCTTTAACTAATTCTTCATATTCATTTTCTGAAAATTCCCTTTCTTGCATTGTCAAACTCTTTTCTTGGAGTCCTTCTAATGTTTTTTGAACTTCTTCACTTATTATGATTTTTTCTTTTACTTGTATTTCTCCATTTCTTATTTTCTTTAGTTCTTCCATTTCCTTTCTTAGTGACTCAATTGTTTTGTCTTTTTCTTTTTTATCTTCTTTTTTCTTTTCTTCTTTCTGTTCTTTCTCTCTTTCCCCACTTATTTCTTGATATTTCCGACACTCCTTTTCGTGTTCTTCTTGATAACACTTAGGATAATATAATCGACACCCTTCACATTCTACTGCTCGGTATTTACACTCTTCAAACAAATGATCTTCCATCTTGTCTTCTGGAATATCATTTTTACAATATTCACACTGACTTGTCTTAGTTGATACTTTCCATTCTTCACTCTTTATTTGGTCTTTTTTCATAGCTTGAACTATCTGTTCTGCTTCAAATGGATGTTGAATACTCAATTTAAAGTCTTCCCCCTCTAAATATCCATATCCTTCACTTCCATTAACACTCTCTACCTCAATATAAATCTTTTTAATTCCACAGTGTATTGGAAGATAATATGACAAAACCATTCCACTATAAACACAATGAAATCCTTGTAAAATCCCTTTCATAACTGTTTTGTAGTTCTTTGAACAATAAAAGTATGGGTCTAATGGTTTAATCTTAATTTCTTTAACTTCTTTTAATTCTGAAAAGACAAGAGACCCTCCTTCTATTGCATCAAATCCTTCACATTCTATCTGAACCGTATCATCTGTAGACACTCCTCCTACAACTCCAATGAAATGTTTCTGTGAAATTGTTTTTAATAAACAGTAATATTGTTTCTTTCTTTCCTTACAAAGATTTTCATATTCTTGATAAAGAGTTTTAGGTAATTTGATTATATCATTATAAATCGTTTTATCTTCATTATTATCACATGAAATAATAACAGTATTAACGTGGTCTGTTTGCATAATAACACAATTAACTACTTTTTAAGTTCTTTTTATCACCAGAAAAGAACCACCATAATAAATAAAATGAATTCTAATTATCATGATCTACTTGTTTCATTCCAAGTTCAGGAATGTCTGGAGACCCATCTTCAAACCATCGTAAGAAAGCATTGAACCAATTCATTCTCGTATTCATATGGAGAATATAGTGATGGTATAATTTAAACAAAAGTACTGAAATAATAGCAGCAATGTAGATATCAAAAGTGTAATGTCTTTTACACATAACAAATAGTAGTGAGGCAATAGCAGTAATAATACAAATAATACCCTTCTCTATTGTAAAACGAAGTGGATAGCCATATTCATTAACAGAAGGACTAACTTTATAACACCATTTAAAATTTATTAATGGAGCTTTTTCTATGTAGTGATACCAAAACATTGCACAAAAGAATAATGCAGCTGTATGAGGACAAAACATTAGGTCATGGCATGAACGAGTTCCAGAAAATATTTTCATTGCATAAATGAAAAGAGGTTGTTTGTTGTAGGTTGTACATGGGACTGGAGAAGGAAGGTATGTTCCAAATATACTCAAAGAACGAAGAATAAAGATTGTACCTTGAAGAAAACAAAATCTTTTAAGAATGATTGTACGATAGGGAGTGAAGAAGAACCTTAAGAAAGTAACTGTTAAAACACCAACTAATACATAAGAAGGTAAATATGGTATATCAATAAAAGGAAGAAGGTCAGTACCTATATCAGGAAGAGTGTATGATTTTGGAATTTCTTGGTGGTTTGATAACCAACGAATATAGTAATCATCTGTTATTGCTTGAAATAATGCATTGATAAAGAGAGATGTGATCAAATAAAGAAAACTCCAAAGAAGTCCTGAAGTTAAAAAGTCAAGGATTGTTAAGATTGGGTGTTTGATTAATTTTTTAAAGGATGAAATAATATCATCTCCAGTGTCAATTATACTATAAAACCCTCTTGTCTCTGGGTTATTAAAGGGAATTAATATTGATATTTGATTATTTGAATCAAGGAAAGATTGATTCATACCGATAAATGAAAGTAACAAGAACAATTTAAAGTTTTTATGAATATTTTTAAGTTCTTATTCTAATAATAAGAAAATTATTTTAAGAAAAATGGAATAGAGAAAAGAAAGAAAATAACAAAATTTTATAAAAGTTGTTTTATAGGAAAAGAAAGAAACATTCATGAAGATATAAAGTGAAACAATGAAAGAAACAAAAATGTATAAATAATAAATAATTACATATTCTTATAACACAACGCATTGAGTCTTAACTTTTTTCCAAGACTTTTTCTTTTGTTTTAAAGGAATTTTTTTTACTTGTTGAGGATGGACAAAATCAGTTTCGAGTAAATCATTAAATACATTATTAATTGATTCTATATCATTTGTAGAGCAAGTAAAACTAATAAAGCCATTATCTTTAACTTTTTGAATGAAAGATTGGCAGTCATCTTGTGAAACCAAGTCTGATTTTGTACCAACAACTACCATAGGAAATCCGTACTTAAAATCAGATTCAGAAGAAGAAGAAAAAGTTAAACCAGAAGAAGAACAAGAATTTTGTATTTTTTGCATTGATGCAAAGATTTCATCAATCTGTTTTTCATATTTTCGTTCTGATAAATCAACGACAATAAGAATACATGAAGTAGTTGAAAAGAATAAATGTGATAATGATTCATATAATTTCATTCCAGGAGTATCTAATATTTCCAATTTAATTGCCTCTTCTTCATTCTCAAACATTACAACCTCTAATCTATTTGTTACTGTTGAAGAAGAATGAGAACAACTCTTTTGTTCAATAAGACAATTAAGTAATGAACTTTTACCACTTGATATAGGACCAACGAGAACAAATGTATAACTCTGAAGGGTTTTAAACAACATGAAAATGAATTTTAAGTTTTTCCGAAGAATTAAAGACTAAACTTCTTCTTGAATTACCTATTCTAAATAATTCCCTTTTCCATTATTTCAGAATTTCAAGACGGGAATTATTACCCCTAATCATCCATAATTCAATCTTTTGTTAAATAAAGAATGTTTTAGAAAATTTCTTTTTGTTTTTATAAAATAATTTGATATTTTTGCTACTCAGTATAATTATGGTACAATAAATTCCTACTACCCTCACCATTTTAAAAGATTGATTGTTGGTGGTTTGTTAGTTGTTACAACTTTACAGAAGGAAAAGTTTTCTAAGAAATAAAATTAAAATTAAGAGTTTAAAGAAAACTTAGGAAAGATTAGAAGATATGATGAATTGTAATATATTTTGATAAGAATTTGAAGGCCAATAATCATAATACAAAACAGAATAACAAGACTGGTTTTTAACAACAGGTATAGGGACTAGTATTGGAATGTCAATAGAATCCTCTAATTCACTTGAATTTACTAGAAATGTTGAATCAACTAAATCTTGTATTGAAAGAGAAGAATTTTCATTTGATTCATTAGAGGGAGAGTATGACCGGTGTTCAACAATATACGGAAATAAGTCATCTTTCCACCAAAAAGGGATTGTTAAGTTAATTTTCATAATATGAGTATTTGGTGGTTGCCAAATAAGTAATTGGTCAGCTTTGTCTAGCGTAAGAATAGAAGAATAGGAATAAACAAAGGTTACATAATATATTTTACCGTTAAGATTAAATTCTTGAATTGTGTTTGGGTTAGCATCTGGACATGAATATTTATTTAAATCAACAACTATAATATTATTTCCTTTATAATTAAACCAACTCCTCCCATCATCACTTTTATGGTGAGGATCAATTGTAGGACCATTATATTTTTTGTCAGAATATAATTCTTGAACTTTGTTTATTTCTTGGGTATAATGAAATTCTTTAATTTTTTCTTTGATATATTTTTTCATTCGTTCCAATTCTTCTATTGAACCTTCATTGACAATATCATTAACAATATGTTCAATTGTTTCCCATCGTTCTTTCTTATGACTCTCTTTCTTTTCAACAAAATCACTCATTCACTGATTTTTAGATGAGATCTTAACAGATATATTTTGTGGTTTCTTATGCTGGATATGATAAATAATAAAAGAAAAAACAAAATTTTAAAAATTAATTAAAAAACTAATAAAAGTCATAATATTACTATATAATAACGATGATATTATTTCTTTTATTTTATTTATTGATCACTATTGTTAGTGCAACTCCAAAAGCTGATTCCGTTGCAATGGATTTGTTTATGGAACCAGGTGGATGTCTTAAATTGAAGGGATATCCATTTATGATTGAAGGACTTGCTATAATGGCTAAAAAGAAGATGAAAAACAAAATTTTAAGAAAGGCTAAAGCAGCTGCTGGTAATTAATTATTACATAATATATTTTTATATTTCATTATCTGATACAATCTTCTCTTTTTCATGAGGATGATAAGACGTTAAAAAAAAAGCTGAGCAAAAAAGAAATAAAAAATCTAAAAAGTTATAATCATTTAAGGTTAATAAGTTTCAATGGAAGTTCAAAGACTTGAAATTATCCAATCATATTGTCGAGGTTTTCTAACTCGAAGAGTATATAACAAAAGTAGTGTGTTTAGAAGATTTGATGTTATTAATGAATTTAGTACAACAGAAGTTTCATTTGTAGATTCAATGAGAAAATTAGATGTATTTTTTAATGAACCTTTGATTGAACGAGCAAAAAATCCAGAAACAACAATATTACCATTATTAATGATTAAAAGTATTTTACCAAGAATTGAAAGTGTATTTTTAAATGGTTGTTTAATAGCTAATACTTTTGAAGATATTCGAGTTAGATGGAAGTATGATAGTTGCTTTGGAGATGCATTAGTGAAGTGTGTTGAGCTTATGACACCACTTGCAGAATATACATTATTATTTGAAACACAAAGAAGAAGTTTGGTAAGTGCTTTTAAAGTGAAGGGATTTAAAGAATTTATTAAAAGACAAAGTATTATTAAAGATTTAAATGGATTATCATTTAATGACCTTATTATTATGTTTGTTGATAATTTTTGTGGAATGGATAGATAGAAAAGAAATAGGTATTTATTAGTTTAGGCCAGTTCAACGACTGATGAGATATCCAATACTACTTAAAGAACTTATCAAAAATACTTCATCTTTTCATCCAGAATATCAACGTCTTGAAGAGATTCAACTTAAGTTTGAAAAATTAATTTCAAATGTAAATACTCAATCAAAAATGCATGATTGTTTACTTGATGTATCTTCTTGTATTTGTTGTTCAGAAAATTTAGTTCAATCATGGAGATATTGTTTATATTATGGGTGGTTATTAATCAATTCACCAACGACACTCTCATTTGCTTTTTTGTTTAATGATAGAATTTGTTACATCCAGAACGTCTGTGAATTGTCACTAACAAAAAATAAAATTCGCTATTTACAGTGGGAACAATATCAACAAATTCGTTTCTTAGATGTTAAACGTTTTGGTCCTTCAGGTGAAGAACCAAGAACTTTTGAAATTCATTGTGGTACAACAATCGATTATCTTTTCTTTCCAGATGGTGAAGATTTTGAAGAATGGGTTAATGTATTAAATTCAACATTAAGCCAATTTATTCAATTAACTAAAAGATTTTAATTTATAGATGAAAGTATATTTTTAAGTTTCTTTCATCAAAACGTCAAATTATGTAATATTTATAGGATAACAGGGTTTATAGTCAAATTTAAGAAACAGTAAAATTTATTAATAAAAAGAACTAAAAAAAATTAAATTATTTATTAGGCAATTATGGATAGAAAGAAAGATAGTCGTGAGAAAGAACAAGTTAAGAAACCTAGAAGACTAAATACATTGTCTAAGAGGAAAAAAGAAATGGCTTCTATAAGAAGAAAGAGAAGAGAACTTATTAAAGAAGGAAAAATTAAACCACAACAACCTCAAACATTAGAAAGTAAACGTATTAAAGATGATTCATTTGTTGATTTC